TGGCACGGATGCGGTGCACATTGAGCCCAATGCCGCCAGCGGTCTTGGAGATCAAGGCACACGTCTTGAGCGTGTCGTAGATGCCGTCGATGCTGTCTTCCTTCATGTCGATGAGGAAGCAGGATGACATCTGGGGGTTTGGTGTTCCAGCATTGAACAGTGTGGGTGAAGCGTGGGTAAAGTACTTCTGCGACATGTAGTCGTATGTCTCGACGGCCTTCTCGATGTCTTCACCGTGGATGCCAACGGCGACGCGCATGAGCATGTGCTGCGGTCGCTCGGCAACCTTGCCGTTGATGCGGAGGAGATATGAGCGCTCGAGCGTCTTGAAGCCAAAGAACTGGTAGTTGAAGTCGCGGTCATAGACAATGGCAGAGTTGAGCTCCTCGGCGTGTTCCTGGACGATCTTGTAGACGGAGTCTGAGATCATGGGCTGGCTCTTGCCGTTCTTGGGGTTGACGTAGCTGTACAGGTCTGCAACGACGGCAGAGAACTGCTTCTTGGTCTGTTTGTGGAGGTTGGACACGGCGATACGCGCTGCGAGGATGGCGTAGTCGGGATGTGTGGTGGTCATGTATGCGGCTGTCTCGGCGGCCTGCTGCTGTTAGCATCTGGAGGGAGGTGGGACGCGTCTGGGCGGCATACCAAGTCATCGAGCTGGATGGTGGTCACGCCGTGGTAGACACCCGAGATGACCTTCATGGTAATGGCGGCAGGGTCGACATGGTCCGGGTCGAGGCCGTAACATAGCCTCGACACGCGGGCTGTGATCTTGTCGAACTGCACGCGTTCCTTGCGTCCATCTGGTGCGGCTGTCAGTACGGCATCAATGCAGACAAGGGTGTGTATGTAGACTTACCGCGCTTGAAGACAAACATTATGCAGATGTAGAGTGAGGTATGGGTATATGGGGTATCAAAGGGTGTGAGGGGAGGGTGCAGTGTTGTGGCAGCGGAGGGGTGGGCGTGGGCGGGCTGGACTTATAGGGCGACGCGTCGAGAAAAGTGCACGGTTTCGCGTCGCTGGTCGCGTTTCTGCGGGCAACCCGCGGGCATTGGTAAGGCGGGCTAAAGTGCTTGCAGGCGGCAGGGGTCGGCGAAATGTGCACCGGCAGCCGAGCTCTTCGAGATTGACGCTCTCCGCCGACGACAGCATCGCGGCATGACCATTGCGCCTCACACTTCCCCTCTCCAACCCCTCCACTAGCACTTGCCCGTCATGGCGGGCGGCCACATGAAGTACCGCCACCTCAGCCGGTCATCGTCGCATCGCCAGGCGCTCCTCCGAAATCTCGTCACATCGCTCTTCAAGCACGAATCGATAGCGACAACATGGCACAAGGCGAAAGAAGCGCAGCGGATGGCGGAGAAGCTGGTGACGCTGGGCAAGAAGAACACAGAGGCGACACGGCGGAGGGCGCACCAGATATTCTTCGTATGCACACGTGCCTGCACTCAGCACCGCTCGCATGTTAACAGCGGCAGGAACCAAACCAGATGGTGCCCAAGCTCTTTGGACCCATAAGAGAGCGCTATGCGAGCAGACCCGGCGGCTATACGCGCATCCTCCGCATCGAGCCCCTCAAGGAAGACCAGGCAGAGTCGGCCATTCTCGAGCTCGTTGACGGGCCCAGAGACCTGCGGTTCGCCATGACGGCAAAGACATTGGCGCGGATACCAGCAAACTGCCAGCTCAACGAGAAGACGGCAGAGAATATCAAGAAAGTCACACGCTTCCGCGAAGACGGTATAGACGATCTCCGAAACATGGTTGAGAAGATGCGTCTAAACAGGGAAAAGGGAATCGACGAGAGGGTTCTGCCTCCACCACGGAAGGTGTATCCCGAGGAAAAGATGAAGAGAGAGATGCACTACTATGAGGAGGTGGACAATTATCGCGTGCCCAACCCTGTGTTTAAGGACACACGGACGCCGGCGAAGAAGGGCAAGAGCTTGAGTTCGATACAATAGACATGTACAATACGAAGTATACCCCAGTTGGTACTAGCTTGTGTGTTGGTGTGAATGAGCATAGCCCAACTTGATGTTACCACTTACCCAATAATACGGCATCATTCATATCATTCTACCTGAAAACGCGTTCACTGTTGTTTCAATACTACATGTACGTCGATGCCGGCCACCTAAAATATCCCCAGCTACTTACCGTACCCTATTGCCCCAATCGACAGACCCAAAACACTCCACGATGACGGCTCCAAACTGGAACACCTCAGACAGCGCCAAACTCCCCAAGTTCGCCACTGTGCTCGTCGAATCTAACAGGAAAAGTTCACGATACACGAAGAACTCCTGATTGTCCTCTCGCCCTACTTCCGCGCAGCCTTGACCGGTGGTTTCAAGGAGGCTCGACACAAGACCGTGACCTTGAAGGAGGACAGTGATTGCATCTTCGAGTTCTTCGTGCAATGAGGACGACGCTTCCGAGCTGTACGCAGCTTGCACCGCTGACGACCACTGCGACCTCAAAACAGGCAAGCTGATCCAGCTCAATGTTTTGCAACAAACACAACCTCCCTGAATTGAAGACAAGAACGATTACCGATATGTTCAACCACATCGAACAAAAAGAGGGCGAGACACTTCCACCCGCTGACATGACTTGCTTCGCTTTCGACAATCTCTCACACAATGCCCCCTTGTGCGACTACCTGGTGCACGCATACTGTTACTGGGCGCACGATTCCCTCTGTAAGGACTTTGGGTCAATCAATTGGCCATCCTGCTTGATCGCTCGCGTCCTTTCTCGGTACAGTGCCTTTCTGTACCTCAATCTCAGAGACCTTCGGTGCCTTGGGCGGCAGGTGTGTTCTCAGGACGGCTTCAGCAGTCCGTATGATTACCATGAGCACCGGTCGGTCGATGATCGAATGGCTTGCGAGTTCAGGCAGCGGGAGGAAAAGCAGGCTATGTAGAGGCGTGGATTGGAAATGGTTAGATATCTCTGGAGTACCCCGCATTATTTTTAAGTGCATTTCATTATCCAACAGTATCGTGAGGGCCTCGAAGTACCTTCATAACACTTCAATTGCTATACCGTGAAGTGTTCTCGGACCCGTTCTGCGGGTGGTGTTTTGGCTAAGATGGCTTGCTGGGGTCCGACACCCAAGCTCTCCCCACATTGTGCTTAAGCGGTGACGTGCCTGAAAATCCACCACCAAACTCTGTGCCCGTCCATGCAAATGCATTATGCAGAACAATGATAGTGCGCAGGTCCAGACTCGCCGTAAGCCAAGCGAGTCCTCCAGCCCGCATTGGGACGGCTGAAGACTTGTTTGCGAAGGCGCGATCGAGAAATCTAAGGTTGGCAGAAGACGCTCTGACGTCACTATCCGTCACGGCAGGTGCAGACCGCCAGTGCGGCTACGACTACAAAAGGCACCCGCCCTGCCTTGCCCTGCCCATCGTCACCCACTCACCCGTTTCTCACCACATCTCCATCACAAAACACACATTCCCATCCACAATGGCATCCCTCCACTGTAAGCTCTCTCCGCATCTGCACCCCCGCCATGTTTGCGGGCAACCGCAATCTCCAACACTCAATGGCAGCGTGTTTGGCAAATTCTGCATCAAAACAAAGCCCAATGGCTGACTTTTCTATCACATAGACCTCCCACCGGTCAAGCCCTCTGCCATTGCTCTCGGCACGGCTTTCAACCACGCTGTCTCCCTGGCCGTCCTCGGACCCGTCTTCGGTGACGCATACCGCCGCGCACAGCAGGCCAACTCCAAGGAGGAGTACTTCCACAGCAAGGAGGCCGCGACCGCCGCCGCCACATGGGGTAGCTCCATCGTCGGCTCTGCCGTCCAGACTTACGGTGTCGGTGCTCTCATCAACGCCACTGGCACTCTTACCTACAAGGGCGCTGCTTACCTCGGCTCTTTGATCTTCTTCGCTTCCGCCGCTCCCTCAGTACGTCATCGCTGTCATCATATGCCAATGCTATCTCAGTACTAACAACATACAGATTGTCTCCCAGGTCCTCACCGAGAAGCGTCCTATGGACACCATTGCTGTCGGCGCCGTTGCCCGCGTCCTCGAGACCGTCGGCCTCAGCTTGTTCCTCACCTACTGGGGAACCCGCACCAACCCCTTTGACTAAGCGTCTCGTTGCTATGAGCGTGTAAGGGAGTTTGGGGATTCTCATCTTGGCGGCTTAGATTGATTGCATCAGTCCATCGCGATGATGCAGATGACACATGAAGAAAGAGCCGCTCACCCGGCGTGCTTTGATTATGATATGTAACAATACCTCTCAATGAATAAGGTTCCAATTTTACACTGCCGGGCTTCTTAGTATTGTAATGCCTTTGCTCTGATCGATGTGGTGTGTTCATTGTATCTCGACAAGAATGAAATCATTTCGGTCACTGCCTCTACTGTCGACAACGTTCTAATAAGCTCACTCGGTGTTGTTCAAAGATGAGGACGAAACGTGCTGCCACACAACAACTTTAGAGCCTCTCGTAACGCTGGGCAGCTTTTGCAACACACTGAATGGATGTCGCATCTTCTGTCGTCGGCACCATCCACCTATAAATCCCACTTCCAGCTTCAAACACACTAATTCTGAGACATTCACACCTGTAATGCCCGGATAATCTTCTCCGAACATACGACTGCTCGAGTCTTCTCGGTTGTTTGTTTGCAGCACACTGCACAAAACATTGACTCGATAGAAGCCGTAAAAACACGTAATTTCAACATGGGTTCTCAAAAAAAGATTGGAAATGTAACAATGTGTGCAAGTTGGCTAGTTGTTTGTCCTATCAGCACGACAATCAATTAGTTAGTGCGCCATACTTGTACGAACCGCAAAGAAATCGCAAAGAAATCGCAAATACATCAATCACAAGCAATGCGTGAGAGAGGCCTCGGTTGGAACTGCAAAAAGAAAATCTCGAAGCTGCTGGGAGCGAGCCACTCAACCCAGCCAGCATCTGAGACGTCGCACCCACGTAAGCAGCAAAAAAAGACTCCCCCGGAAAGGCTCGAACTTTCAACCTCCTGATTGCCAAGAGCGGAATAACAGTCAGACGCGCTAGCCAATTGCGCCACGGAGGATGTAGCGCAGATGCGCCGTGGCTTTGGATGCTGATTATGGGAAGTGAGCATTAATTTGACTTATAATGCAAATGTGTTGTTAACAAAAAGGGCTCGCTACACGCACGATTGTTGCTCTGTGGACCGGGTCAGAAAAGTCTGGCGGCGAGGTGGTACCATGGTGGGGTTGGGATGACTCTAGCCGGTGGCAGTTGGCTGGGCCAGGGGGTTTTAGTGACATGCTGCTACCGATGATCGGCGGGTGGGGGACTTCTGACAATTTGTGCGACACTTGAAAAATGCATGTATCGGTGAGTTCCACCTAACACTAATAGGACAATAGTTCAGTGATGCAAAGCAGAATTTGTCTTCCTGTGTTTCTTCTATGTATGGTTCTATGTCCGTAACGCTCATTATCATGTATCATATCCTCGACTGTTCATCATCTCCTCCATCAGAGCGATGCATGTCGATATCAGCCATCATCAGGCCTCGTTCCTCGTCGCCATCTCCAATTTCCCTCTCCTTGAGCTTGTTCGGGTCCTCTCTATGCATCGCAACGTATATGGCCGAGCCTAAGATCAACGACGATCCAATAATAGATAGCGCACCAGGAGTGGTGCCCCAAACGAGCTTATCAAAGGTAAGCGCGAAAAGCATCTGAACGTAGACCATATTCGTTGCGCGAGATGACTTCTCATACTGAAGACCGGCAGCGAGGAGGAATTGCTGTGGATGTTAGCGACGAGCGTTGAAAGTGTAATCCAGAGCTTACCATGACGAAACCACAGATGCCGAGAAAGATCAAATAACACCAGTCCGTGAGGTATCTTGGGAGCAAAAACCCAACGGCAGGTACGGTAAACATTGCAACCACACTAACGATAGTACACCACGTCGCGAAGTAATTGACCGAGATCAACGGATGTGCTCGCTTGCCAATCCATCGGATCGTGGTGTACGCACCGGCTGCTCCGAGCACACCCAACAAGGCAAATCCTACGGCTGTGGCTCGTTGAGTGGGTGTGACAGAATCATGTTCGGCAGCAAGTCGACCCGGATCAGCGGTTGTGGTGTTGGATGGCGCAGATATTCCATCGCCAATAGCTGTTTCATCCGAGTGCGAGAGCGAGGCGAAGAGTGAGACAGGCCGTGCAATGAGGATCACGCCAAAGAGCGACACATATGCGGCGATCTGCTCCATACGAGTGAACGGTTCGTTAATGAGGAAGCTACAGGCCCAGCAGGCTAACGATGGAGCGAGGAAGGTTATGACCGTCGCATCCGCAAGTGGGAGATATTGTAGCGAGTCTGCTCAAGTTAGCTACATATCAAATTGCGCAGGAGGATAGAGGTACTGTGGACCAGACCGCAGTGAATCTGCACTGCACGATCAAGCTGGTGACAGTAGCTGCAAGTAGGTTACTGTGCCCACATATACCCTTGAATACCGATGGGGTACTCACAATACATGCCGAAGACCCCGAAGAAACCGGTCAGACCTCGTGCGACTAGTAGAGGTCTAACTTCTCTCATGCCCCATGGGAAGTATTCAATCTTCTTGTGCCACATGTACAGCGATGAGCACAGCACTGTAATAGACATCCTGGCGAAGAGAATCTGGAATGGATGGTAGCCTTTGCCTAGGAATTATTTAGCGAAGTTCTGGATGTTTGCAAGTGAGCTTGAATTCTCACCATCGTTTCCTTCCATCTCAAGTTTTCGGGTCGTCACGTTCATCAAAGTTCCGAAGAATTGGGAGACTAGAACAAGAGCAAGGCCTTTATTCGCTATCCAGGATAACTGCAGCCTGCCATGAAGAGTCCGCACAGGGGCCGGCGAACGCGAAGCATGTCTACGAGCGTGTCGTACTGACTCCTCTATCGATATGAGTGACGGATCTGGGGAAGGCGCTCGAATTGCCCCGCGATTGACATCTAGCGAGATTTCGGGCTTATCGCCGGGCTTGTACGACGACTCTTCCTGTCCACCGAGCTGCTCAAAGTGTTTTGCATCGTCTGCAGCGAGTGGAACGGTCATAGCGCTTCAGCGAACGACGTCCTAGATGGTCCGTAGATGGGTGATGAGACGGTGGAGACATGGCTGTGGGCGGATAAGGCCTCGTCGTGCTGAAGACGCTATTCGTGAATAAGGAAGGCGTGAACTGGGAGCGAGTCAGAGGCATCGACTCTTGAGAAGACGCCACCGCTACGTGCTGGGCTTGTTGGTCATCCGTTAGTATGAAGCGGCCTGTCTATACTCGGAATTTTTTTTTTAGAAATAGAAAAAGCTCTCCTGGTAATGCTGGGGGATACACAGGCTTCCTGTTTAACTGTAAAGTGATGTGCAGTTAGTCATGAATGCTTGCAGTACTTGGTGTGCTGGTGCTACCATCGTCTAGCTAAGCCGAATGCCCCCTGACAGGTGGCACATGGCGGCTAAGCGAAGCGTGCCAATCTGCGTGCGAACTCTCGGTGATAGGATCCAGTGACGTCATCGCAATTGACGGCGTACTCTATTGGTTCCAAGTGCTGACAACTCTCTTAATGGCCTCGAAGAGATTGTGTGGAGTGTGCAAACACTTACAATATAAATTGACGAGTGTTGCGCGTATTTGGACAGCATGAGCATGCTGCGTGTGTTCCTTCGGCATGCCTTCCGCGGGGCTCAGTATGCGCCTTCTCGTCTTGTGGTTTTCTTTGCGCATTGGCGTGATTGTGCAGAATCCATAATGTTGTCTTTAGCTTTGTCTTTTGGTCGACCCCAGTGCTCGGTTGTAGCTGACGCGTCTGACTGGCCCTGTGGGCATGGTCGTGAGGGGTGTTATAAACTTTGGGCGTGATCCTCGCTTCTGATCCAATATCAACCCCACAGTATGCTCATCCAGCAACTCACCCGCGCATTCCGAGCACGCGCACTGTGCACAATGTCGGTTGCAACATATTATTCTGATTCATACCATACGTCCGGAGAAATTATGTCACTAGCGGAGTGCACATTGCCACTATCACTATTGGCTATGCTGTACTCTAGAGCACCGCGCCTGACTGATAATTTGAGTATGGCGCTGACTGATAGGCCAATCGCTGATGATCCTCTCAGGCACAGCTCTGAGGTGACGGCGCATCCTCAGTAACTACCTACCCGTTTCGACCTGCTATGCATGCCCAGAATTATTATCAGATCAAGGATACGAGGATGTCGTACAGACACCCTTGAGGTCTGTAGATGGCTGGCTGGAACGTGCCGAGAACCCACTGTCTGCCGCTGCTCAACGGCCCATGACCACGAGGCGAGACGCGGCGCCATGGCGTGACAACTGCACGTCGGGCAACAAGGGCACTTGAGGGTGTCATGCTTGACTCGCATCTCCAGTACCACAGCGGCATCCTGCAATCCCTATCACCAGGCATTTGAACGGTGTGTGCTCGGGTGAGCCTGCTTAGGCGAACTGGAGATGGAACAATTGATATCAGGCCGCACCTGTCCGAGCTTCAACTGTTGTTCGACTAAAGTTCGTGGCTTTCAAGTGCGCTTCGAGCGGGAATGCCGACGTGGCTCTTGACGCCTGACGATGTTCCTGGCACGGGAGCCTGAAACAAGACGAACATCTTTCCGACGCTGGCGCCGCGACGATTATTGCAGTGATTTACGGAGCGCAAGCACCGTCGATCGAAAACATGGGGCGCATGGGATACCCGCTTCGCTTCCATAATCGCGAAGTCCTACCGGTGGTCGACCTGGAATTTGCCGTTGAACTAGGTATTATTACCAAGTCGCCGACTGAACGGGTACTCCTTGCAGCGGTACCCTTTCAAATTTCTTTGTCACAATTTGCGACTCCAAACCATAAATGCAAGATTAATACACACTGGAACCGAGGGCATATTCGGTAGCTACGTCCTAGGGCATCCATGATATCCTCATCGAACGGCTGGAGCATAATGCTGGTGTGTCAGCCTTATGCTCGGGACGGCTGCGAGTCATGGTAGGCTAAGACAGGATGACCCTGCGAATTTCTTACAGGCCTCGCTTGCTGATCATCGTGACGGGCGGGGAGACGGATCAGGCATCGACGAGAAGGTTGTTAGCACCTCGTCATGTGTGTGCAGTATTTTCAGAAGGTTCCTATACTACCGATTAACTCTCGGAGAAGTCTAGATGTAGTAGTGTCTGAGGAGCCATCGCTTATATTTGCGAGCCCGACGCTGTGGGAGGAAGCGATGGTGAGCTGGGATGCGCACGTCGGTTGCGTGTGAAGAAAGTTTGTTCAAAGGACATGGGAATAGATCTGGGCAACGTGACAAGGTAACGGTATTCGGGCTTGGCTCTGAACGTATGTCTATGTGGAGTTCGCCACGACGCCCCGTGGTCAGTAAAGATCTTTGCCGAAGACATTACCACACCTGGCCATAAGGTTCGCGGTTCAATAGCCTGAGACTAGCCACGAAGGTTGTTCGACAGGTGGTGTTTTTTGTATTCATGAGTAATCCTGCAGTTCATCGAAGTGCCGCAACAGCCGGGCCTGACAGACCACAGTGCTTCAGCTCCAGCCACACTGTTGCAGTGATTGTGTGCAGCATGAGTGAAGCTAAAATTTTAAGTATGAAGCTTGCTGGTCACATACTATCCCCCCTATTATATAGAAAGTCTACCGATGAATTTGAATGGCCACTGACTCTAGAAGCTGATGCCTTGCTGTTGAATAGTTTGTTACTGAATGGCGTGGGGGTAAGTGGCTTAACATGACTCTTTTATTATAGCTTAAGCAGCTATAGCGAGGGGTGACTAGAGAATGACGCGGGCCATCCAGGCATGAAGCAAGGGTACACATGCGAGTAAAGCCTTTGGTGTGGACGTCAAGTTGAGCACAGGCAATAGACTAACTGTCTCGAGCGCATGCTGTGGCAACTACGGGAATGAAGCGTTGTGTGATGGGATCCAGGTGGTTATGAGAAACGATATGCCATTGGATATGGAAGGATGTAGTATCCCGATGAGGCCCAGAAAAGCATGTGCAG